ATTGATCAGTGCCACCATCAGGTTTTTTCTTTTCTTTTCCTGGTAACTCAGGTCCAACTGGACACAGAGTCACAGCTTCTCTCCCGGGTCTGGCTGTGAGCGTCCAACCCACCTCCTCCAAAAAAGGACCGACTTTTCTCCCAGCACAGTACTCAGCAGGGCGCTGAGAGATCTGCTAATGCACCCTACCGCTTTCTGGGAGCCTCCTCCTTCCAAAGGGGCAGCAGGCAGGCTCTTAATCTTCCCTTCTGGAGGAAGCCTGTCTCCACAGCAGAAATGCATTCATTTGATCAGCAGTCACAGCTCTTCAGCCCGTGACGTGAGCCCTGCCCAGCAAAACAAGTAATGGGCCTTTCACTGCTGCCTGCAAAAGCCAGGTAACCACTGGGATTGCGCATACATGGGGCACAGAGTCCCTGGCGTCAGGCACAGCATTCAGTAGCCGCTCTCATTACACAAATCATCCTGCTCTGGTGTGAAACAAAATGTGTTTATCATCACAGCCCCTTTAATGCCAACCCATGGGCTGGAGGGGGGTTAAATGTCTTTTTGTTATTTAAATATTTCCTTCTAAGGGGCAGGGCTAATGGAAAACTCATCTGTTAAGTGAGAGGGGAATGGCTGGGGTGAGGCCATCCGTTCAGGCACAAAGCCAGACAGCACCCCCGGCTCTCGCCATCAAGCTGGCATCACTCCCCCGCCCCGCCCTATGCTTTAGGCCCCTTTACCATGTCAGCTCCTAGCCCATATTTTGGGAGGCACATAGCACAGCTCTGGGCACGGGCAGAAATAAATGATGATCGGGGACTGCTGTCGCTCCCTTCCCAGGGCAGAACAGCAGAGCCACATCATCCAGGAGCCTGAGGCACGGGCAGGCACAGGAGCTGTTGGCTCGGCTCTTGTGGGGCGCAGGACCACCTGGAACCCGGATTGTAGGGCAGGAGGCTCTCAGCTAATTGGATATAAACAAGCACCCAAGTCGCCCGCCGCAGTCTCTGCCCTGGGCCAAAGATGCTGCACTGACATTCCACCATGTGGTCAGGAGAGGGCAGCAAAGTCCAGGTGTGCACGTCAGCTCAGGGCAGTGCTTGATGCTACCACGTACAGCTGGTGTGGACTCTCAAAATCCACCCACAGCCGCACTGGGCCCTGCCTCATGCCCATGTAAAGCTAATCTGAACCTCCCCAGATCTGGCTATTACTCTCTAGACCCAGCACAGCCACACGCATAATCTCATCTAACATCGGCACAGCCCCCATTCTCTCCTCCCACTGTCCCCTTCCTTCACTCATGAGCTCTTCGGGCCGTGTCTGCCTCAGTCTTTGTGCCAGGCCCGGCCTGAAGAGGTCCTGACTCTGATTGGAGCCTCTGGGGGCTACATCCTAGTGGTATCTCCCTTCAGCTCCCAGCCCTGATACACACAGGCATCCCACAACATCAGAGCAGTGGTGTGTTTAACACACATGCCATGGGCCCCACCCTCAGCAACGTTGCCATCAATGACACGGGCTTTAAAAACTCAGGTTGTGCTAACCCCCATATAATGGCACAAAGGAGATTAATGCTTCTCTACTATTGCACTAGCTAAGTGCCAGGTTACACCCTTACCCTGTGCAACAAAACCATTCATGTCTCCGCGAAAAATGCAAGCAGGCAACCAGCGCAATGAGCCACCCAAAAAGCATGGGTGCCGTACTATGTCATCTACCCGCCACGGTTCTGGAACAGTTTGCCAGGCCCTGCGCAGGTCTCTGTTGGCACCAGTCAAATTCAGCACCTGCTGCTCTCCAGAGCCCAGAAGGGCCGGCAGGAGAATATAGTTTATTCGTGCAGCCGGCTGGGGACAGAGATGGTCACGGAGCCCGCTAGTAACCTATCAGTATGGGAGGGATGGGCACTGGATCATTAGTGGTAACAGCCTCCCTTACCACGTTGGCAGCATGTGCAGGAACTGGCCGTAACGTGCAGGACAAAGATTGGACCCTCAGAACAGCTGCTACCTGGCACGTGGACAGTGGAGAAGCAGATGGTCTTCAGCCCTGCCCAGCACACACTGTGCCCTAGAGACGCACAGCCCCCATCACGTCAGCTGCAGTCAACTCCCCAGGGTCATGCTGGCTCGCTGTTGGCCTGGAGGAGCTGTTTAGCACTGCCCTAGGTGCAGAGGGTCTGCTGCAGCAGGAAGGCTCCCCAGGCAGATCCCAGCCCCTGAGGAGGAGAGAGAGCATGGCCCTAGGGAGAGCAGTGCAGGCCACAGACAGGCCAGCTAAGGCAGGCGTGCCCAGCCTGTGCACATGTGCTGCTTAAACAGATTCAAACAGGGGATAAGGTGTAAAATGTTAACAGTGATAGTAATGAACCCCTGGAGCAGTTTACCCAGGGGTGTGGCAGATTCTCCATCACTGGCCATTTTCAAATCAAGCTGGGATATTTTCCTAAAAGATCTGCTCTAGTTCAAACAGCAGATTAATTAATTCAGGGCAGTCTGAGAGGCCTGGGTTATACAGGAGGTCAGACCAGATGGCCACAGGGGTCTCTTCTGGCCCTGGAACCTATAAAAACCCTACGCAGACAGGGACACCGTTCCTTCCCCCCAGAATCCCCACATTTGTGCAGGGGGAACCCACAACTTCCCCAGCATCCTCCATTGTTCATTTCCCTACCGTGGCAAGCAGTGGAACCACCCAGCCCCTGGGGAGAGAAATGGGACTGGGGGCCCAGCCAAGCTGGGAGGGGCTCAGCGAGCCAAGCTGCAGGTTTGCTGCCCCCTGCAGAGCTGCCCCTGAGCTGCCCCCTTCCTAAGGCCAAGCCCCAGCTTTCCCTGCAGCATCGGATGAGGCCTTGGGAGCTGAGCGCCTGCCTGCTCTGCACCATCGCTCCCTGAATCTTACCAAGGTCTGAGCCTTGCTGATTGCCTGAGGCCCAGAGTTCTGCAGTCTAATTATGCTTTGGTGAAAAACTATTTCCTCCCACTGCCTTTCAGTTCCATTTCAGGGGTGAACTGATTGAACTCTACTGCAGTTCTCATTGATTAGACAGACGGTTGCTGGTTCTATCCGTTATTCAGGGTGTCAGTTTTAGCCTTCTATAGCTTTGTTCTCCTCAGATTAATGAATTGATTCATTACTTCCCTGTCCCTCTCTAGATTTTTCTTTGGTAGAAAAGCAAAATGTTCGCAGGGGAACATTTAAAACTACTCGAGATTGTGTCTTTTTCCTTAAAAACATGAGAAATGTTACTCACTTATACATTAGAAAAGACAAAGCGTTGAAAAACCAGGGGCACAGGGAAGATATTGGGGACTAGCCCCAGAGACCTGTGTGTGTTGGGGGGGCAGTGAATCTCCCCAGTCAGTCTCACCCTATGTGCATGGAGGGGGAGAATGTCCCGGAGGGTCCCCTGCTTGGGGGGAGAGGGTGTCTCAACTCCCTCACTCTATGAAGGGTTCCCCCCAGGGCAGTTCCCCAGCCCCTAGCTCTCTCCCTTAGGGGTCACTCCCTTCTTTAGAGGCTCAATCAGTGGCTCATTCCCATTGCTTCTCACAACTGTGCCCCAGACTCATCCTGCAGCAGATGGGCCTGCCAGACCAGCCCCCACTCCATGGTCACACATCCACCCCCTCACACCACAGGTGGTCATGAAGCTGCAGCGCTTGACTTTGATTGGCTAGGAGCCTATGCACTTAGAATCATAGAATATCAGGGTTGGAAGGGACCTCAGGAGGTCACCTAGTCCAACCCCCTGCTCAAAGCAGGACCAATCCCCAATTTTTGCCCCATATCCCAAATGCCCCCCTAAGGGATTGAACTCACAACCCTGGGTTCAGCAGGCCAATGCTCAAACCACTGAGCTACCCCCCCCCTTCCCTCCTCCTTTCCTGATTGGACAGGCTGCATATCCCCTCCCAGAGACCCCCTGACTCAGGAGACTCAGACCCTGCAGCTAGGGGCACCCTCCTACAGCCCTGTGCCTTCTCAACTCACCAAGCAGAGATCTCCTCCACAACTCCCCACACAGACCCTGTATGGCGCCATGGAGAGCTCCTGCCCCATACTGGAGATCAGCCCACCAAGCATCTGCCTTGTGATTACACATGGAGCTGATCCTCTCCTCCATGCCAGACCCTTCCCCACCCCCCTTAAAGAGCCCCCCAGGGCAGCTAGGTCTGACCTCTCTTCTCCCCACAGCCCAGGCCCAGCATGGGCCGATGCAGAGCCATATCTGAGCAGACCCCCTCTTGCCCTGGCCTGACAATCCAGCCAGCACAGCCCTGGCCTCCCTGGTCCACAAGCTCCCACCTCCATTGTGACATTCACTGAAGAGAACATGGATACCCTGCCCCCGCCTCTCTCCGCTGAGACATCTCTAAGCTGCCTTCACCCTGGGAACTGCTCCCCCCCCCCGCAGCCCCTGGGTGCAGCCTAGTTGGAGGAAGCTGCTTCGGCTCAGACAGAAAGGCAGTGGGGGAGCTTGGTGCCAGGAACGCCCATGTGTAGTGACGGCTCTGGTGCCAGGACACAAGAGAGTAACTGCCAGCAGGGAACAGGGGTTAGAAATACAGATTGCCCTGTCTACACCAGGTGACATCTTAAAACACACCTTTTCTCCTACGGTAGGCGTGGCCCCATGGATCCAGCACGCAGGCAGCCCCACTCTCCACGGCAAGGGGACACGGAGGCAGGAGGCTCCTGCCATTCCCGACAGTGCCAGGACAAGCACCCTGAAGCACACAATGCTTCGCTCTTAACGTATACAGTCCAGGAGAGGGTTAGAAGAGTGCGTAAGCTGAACACACCGGGGCTTGGCCTGCTCCCACGTCCTTTTTATTACAAAAAATAGCTTCATTGTGCTTCAGTGCCTTGGCTAGGAAGAGTTCTTCTGCCCAAGGGCAAGCCAGAGTCCCGGGAAAGCCTCCAGAGCCTAAGGCCGTCCTTCTGCCCTCTGCAGGGAAGGAGATTTTAGCCGTTGCATGACTGTGGGGAGGGAGACGGGGATGGCTCTAAGGATCCTGGCCACTGGTCCTCAGATAGTCCTGCAGATTCCTCGCAAGAGACTCATCATGTGGGAGGTTCACCGGCTTTAGACACGACACCAGGTACAACGGGTAGGGCCTGAAAGAGACCAGGGAACTGGTTAGGGAGAAAGGCCTATTTGGGTACCATAAGAAAGGACAGCTGGCGGGAGAGTGACAACAGCTGGGATCACAGACACCCCCGTGAGCTACGTGCAGAGACAGCAACAGTTGGCTTCTGAAGCCTGCCCGAGGCACTGGAACCTACCCAGAGCAGCATTCCAGTCTGAGCTGCCTCCGGAGAAGGTGCTGGGCAGGAGAAAATTCCTAGCACCAGGTTCATCCCACACCACTTTGTCCAAGCTCCTTAGCCCCAGGGCAGGAGCTGCTTCAGGTCAGACAGCAGCCCTGGGGCAAGGGGTAATTCTGGCTTCATCACATACTCCATCCTCTCCTCGCCAGGGCTGGCGACACAGGCCATGGCCACACTACAATAAAGGTGTTTTTAACATGTTAAAATCCTAGTGCCGACAAGGCAGCCATTGTTTTAGCTTGTGCTAGTGGGTGGAGATAAACCATACCGGGGAGTGTAGAGTTCACCACCAGCAACAGGTTAGAATTACAACTTGGGCTGTCAACAGTAGGATCTTAACGTATGGTAAAAACAGCCCTTTTCCCAGTGAGGACAAGGCTGTACAGGCTGTGGGGATTCCGGAGGATGGACGAGCGAAACAGGGGGTGTTATTTGCAGGGTTCATAGATTCCAAGGACAGAAGAAACCACTATGATCTAGTCTTGACCTCCTGTAGAACACAGGCCAGAGAGCATCCCCCAGATAATTCCTAGAGCAGAGCTTTTAAAAGAAACATCTGATCCTGATTTAAAAAGTGCCAGTGATGGGGAATCCCCCCCCATCCCTTTGTAAATTGCTCCAGTGGTATGTCCCCTCAGTTAGAAATAAGGGACAGCTTTTCAGTGTGATTGTGTCTAGCTTCAACGACCAGTGATCAAACCGTGTTTGACTTCTTTCTGCGAGACTGAGGAACCCAGTATTACAGATTTGCTCCCCAGGTAGGTTCTTATAGACTGATCCAGTCACCCCTTAACCTTCCCCTTGTGAAGCTAAGCAGACTGAGCCTTGCTATAAGGCAGGATTTCTAACCCTTTTTTCTTTCTTGTGGCTTTTCTCTGTTCCCACTACAATTTACCAAGCTCCTTTTCAAACAGCGAGCAGCAGAACTGGATCTGAAATCACTGGGATCCGGCTTGAAACGAAGCTGAGCTTCAGGGTCCCCAGCAGGGATGGCACTAAGGTTTTGGCTGTCAGGCCCCACTCCCTGTTCTACAAGGAATCCCATGCTCTGCTGGACCCTCCCGCCTGGGGACTGACTCTTTTTCCTATCTATGGGCTCCATGCCAACTCCCTCCTCTCAGCCCATAGACACGCCCTCCTGAAATCCGCCTGCTGACTTCAAGTCCAACAGGGCAAAAAGACAAGAAAGCAGCAGATCCCATATTAGCCCGGAGTGGAGGTGGAATCAGGAAGTTTTGGGGCTCACTCCATGCTCTGCTGCAGGAAATCCACCCTGACCTGGCCCTCAAGTTCCCTTAGAGCCAGCCAGTTCCCAGGTGTCAGTCCAGGGCTAACAAGCTGCTCCTCTGGGCTCTCAGGGGAGGGTTAGCTGGGCAGTAACAATCGAGGCCAATGGCACAGCCTGGCATCGATGGTCTGGAGCCACCCGTGTGAGCATTGCTAGGCGTCAGAGCTGAACACAGCAGGTGGATGGGCTGCAGCATCCCTTTGTCTGCAAGGGGTCTCGCTGGGAAATGACTGCCCCGATGCTGTGCAGTGGGCTCAACTCTGCCCCCACCTCCTGTGCCCTGCAAGCATTGGAGGACTCGTGTGCAGGTGTGGCCCAGACAGGCGCTGAGGCCCAGAACCAGGGGTGGGGCAAGCCCTTAGTCTATACCAGCTGCCTTAGTGCCACACAGCACTTTGGTTACTTCAACCCGCTGTTCTCGAGCTAGAGCCTTGGCCTAGCACCAGCCGCAGCCACCAAGCACCTTACACACCTCCCCGCTGCTTCCTGCTGTCCATCTGCTGGGGCAGCATCCGCGTGGACCTTCTGCCAGAGAGCAGCAGCTTCCTGTCGTCGGTTCAGCTTCCACAGAACTTGCAGCAGGTAAGAGGTGGCAGCAGGGTCACCTGCAACACATAGAGGGACCTCAGCCAACACCGGGGACTGCACAGACTAGAAGGAGTCCAGTGGGGGTTTCTGAACCATCCAGGAGGCTGAGAGCCAGGAGGGGCACAGCTATGTGGCAGGAAGCCTTTCCCAGCTGGGTCACTGGCCCAAAATTCCCCCTAGGGCTGACAGGCCAGCACCTTTCACCAGGACAGAGTTTGCCATAGAAACCAAAGGCACTCTGGTGTATTCAGCCAGTCCTGGTCTGGCTGGGTTAGAGGCGGCCTTGCTGAATGGCACTGCAGCTTGGAGGGAACCCAGGGGATTGTCAAACCAGTTCCAATTTCCAGTGGGAGCGCATCACCATCTATGGAAGCCCCAGCCCCGCCCCGCAGCAATACAAGCCTCTGGTACCTGGGCAAACTTGCAAACTGTGCTGGAAATTCATCAAAGCTTCTTTGTCCCGACCCAGCTCCTGGAACTGGGAGCCTCGTCCGAGGAGAGCTAGCAACCTGATCTTCTGGAGCACCTTTGCCTCGGGCAGGGCCTCTGCCATCTCCTCACCGCTATGGATGCTGGCTGGCATGGAAAGAACACCCCACACATGGCTGTGGTGTCCGCTGGGCACCGCTCCCCATATCCCCAAGTTGGCAGCGCTGGCCTGTGAATATTTCCAACTCCCCCACCCCTTTGAAAGCTCTGCTGGGAGGGCAGCACTGGCTCCCAGCTGAACGCTGTGCAGCAAAAAGGCTTCCAGTGTGAATCTTAACGGGCAAGAGGCTGGGGTCACAGGGAGGCCTGTCTAAGAGACTGTGCAGGGGACCCCCCTAAAGGACATTAAAGTTTTCAATCAGCCTGACTGAAGATCCCTTCCCTGCACAAATCCTACAGGGATGGAGGCAAATTAGGACCAAGCCACAATTATCTCATAACCCTGCTAATTCTCCAGAAAAAGCCACTTAAAGACCAAGCCCAAATCCATTCCCTAGAACCTGGACTCTCCCCATGTCTCCTCAATCCATAGCTGTTGAACTGTCATTAGGGGGTGGTGTGAGAACACAGGCAAAGGGCAGAGCTGAGCTGAGCTTCCCCAGCCCTGTCCCATCAGCCAGTCTCTGCCAGTGGTCCAGAGCAGATCATGGCTCAGGGCAAGGAGACAGGTACTTTCCTGCCGGGCATGGAGCCTTGTTTAATCCCCCTATTGCTACTGAGCGTTACCATGGCGCTTTCCACGTTCAGAGCCCCGGACAGGTACTAGCCAGCCCCCAGGCTGGTCCCTCCCACGCAGGAACCGCAGCGGGCGGGCTGGGCTGTACTGTACCTGCGCTCACAAGCTGGACTCTCAGGAGGACATTAAGGCACCTGCAGGGGAAAGGTCAAAATCATTTCAGTGCCGTTTCCCAGAAGGGAAGGTCATGTCAAAGCCACGTGTGGCCCCAGCCCCGCGTCTGTGTGTCACAGCCAACACTGCTGAGCTCTACGCTGCCCCAGAGCCACTGGATGGGGGGCCCCTGCACCCCCCACCCTGCCACACGGGCCCCGTCTGCAAGTGGCCCCACGGCTCCCCTCCAAGGCAGGGAGGCTACCTGCCCACGGGAAGGGCTCTCAAGCTGCACTCTGCTTCACGCCAGCCAACCGCCCCATCAGGCTCCAAGCTTAGCCCTTGGTTGCCACCTGGGCTCCCCCTGCCGGCAGATGGAGTCACCTGGTAAACCGTGTTATGGCTTCCTTGCTCTCCCCCAGCTTGGTCCAAGCCCGGCCCTGGTGCAGATATGCAGCCGCCCTCCACACGATACAGCGCAGGCTCTCTTTCTGCTGGGGCGGGATGCCAGGTGAAGGGGAGCCGGCCCTCCCTGGCACCTCCCCTCCAGCACCGGAGTCCAATTCGATCCGCAGCGTCTCTGGGATCAGGTCATCCGTGCGACTGATGATCTCCTCGCACACAGCTATGGCATCCTGGTACCTCCCGAGCTGCTCCAGGGCGGACGCAGCTTCCAGGAACACCTCCGGGATCCTGGGCAGAGCTGACCTGCCGTGCAGGGGCACCTGAGCAGCGAGAGCAACAGCATCACCCTCAGCACCCGCAACGACACCCAAATTTAGAGTCCAGCTTGAAAACATGGGGGCCCCCCCATGTACTGTGTGGGTGAGCTCCCCACCACGCGACCCATTCCATGCCACCTCTCGAACCCCAGGCCAGGCCATTAGCCTTTACTCTGCGGCTCGGGGTGCCCTCCAGGGAGGGGCGGGGGCTCTGTCCCTGCAGAGATTCCGGGACAGGTAGAGGAGACGCTAGCTGGAGGAATGGAGGGAGCTGCCCTGACGAATCCCAGGGAGTCCTCGGACGGGAACCCAGTCACCCCAACACACCATGTGGATTCCTTCCCAAGAGGCTTACCTGGTGCTGCGGCCCCTCCTGCAGCAGAGCCAGAAGATCCAGGTAATGCTCCACTGCCTCACCCACCCTGCGACAGAGAGCGACATGAGGAGGTACCTCAGGCTGCCAGGGAGCAGCCTGGTCCTTGGAGGACAGGGAAGACCCCAAGGAGAGCAGCAGCTAGCAGGTCCAGGACTGACGAGTTCCAGCAGAGCTGTGCAGGCAGCCTCCTGCTTGACTCTAGCCAGTGGTACTGGTCCCCGTGCGGAGGGCAGAGCCTGCAGGGGGGAACTGCTGCTCCATCACCACCCAGACACATGGGTGATGCTGAATGGGGGTTTACCTGGGTGCCCAGAGAAGGGAGGGTCCCAGGTGAGCAGGGGGTGGGGAGTGCTTTACCTGCCAGCCTGGAGGCATCGCTGCGCCAGCAGGTACTTCACTTCCGACGGGTGGCTGCGGCTGAACATGGACGCCAGGGCCGGGGTGTGAACAAGGAGCTCCGTTCGGATTAGAAAGCAAGGATCGATAGAGACAGCCTCCTGAGCGGGGGTCTCCAGAGCCTGCACAGGTGGGGGGGAAGAAACAGACCACATGGTAGATCCCTGCTGGCACTCCCAGGAAGCTGCAGTCAAGTCCAACTACAGACATCCCAGTCCAGCCAGTCTATATCGCTCACTGCTCCTGCACCGTCCCCTAAAGGGCTTCTCTCAACCTCCCACCCGCTGAACTGCAGCCACCTCTGGGGTGGAGAACAGACGCCAGCGCCGCAGCGTGGAGAGGACGGGGGATCTCTAAGAGCCACGCAGAGCAGAGAGAATTAAACATCCATGCTACTGGAGCAGCATAGAACAGCTTCTCCCCTCGGAAGGGCGGTGGGCCTGGTCAGCCCTGTCCCGTGTTGTCAGGAACTCGGGAAAGATGTCTTCAGTCCCACATTTGCACTTAGTTAATTTTCCAACTCCTGATTTTTAATCGTCTACTAAGCGCCCAGTGAGACCCCCGCGCTACACGTGCCCCCTCACCACCGCACACCTGCCACTGAAAGGAGTGCTCACTGGGCACTGAACTGTCACCTCCCGTCAATCAGCTTCCTATTTAATACACTTGGTGAGGTGTACCTTGCTCCTGCGGCTGGTCCAACAGCCCAACCCTTGATTACCCAATACTGCCAGTGTCCACCTGATGAGCAGGGTGCATCAAGCAGCAGGGCTCTTGCATTTCTAACCGGGGTGCTGGAGGCCCAGCTTGCCTGAGATGATGCCTGCAGCAGCCACTACTGGGCTGTGAGTGGCCTGACTGACCCTGCCCCGCCGCAGGGGTAGAGTTCACGTTGGAGGTGGGGGGTGCTGGAGGCTCTGCCCAGGCACAGCTGGACCAGAGACATCAGTGCAGCCACCTGGCTTGTGATGCTTCCCCTTGGGAACAGACAAACCTTGTACAGCAGAGCCAGGGCCTCCAACTCTGCGTCCGTCTCCCCCAGCTGGCGGTACACCAGCGCCGCCTGGGACAGGGCAGAGAGGCACTGGAAATCCACCTGCAGCGCCCGCTTCAAGTGCTGAAGAGCCGTCTGAGGCTTGCCCTGGGGGCGGGAGAGAATCACACACAGCATGATCAGTCACTGCTGACATGGCTGGAATATCACCTGGAAAAGAACATTCCAGGAAACCTGATCACTGCCTGAGGTCACCCTGCCCCCAAAGACCAGGGAGACCGGAATCAGAGAGGCCCAGAGCAGCAGCCAAGCTGGGCATGGAGAGCTAGGGGAGGGTCTCTGGCCAGGCAGTGCTGGCTAACCTGCACCCTTCCCACTGCAGGGCAGCAATCACCTCCTGGGGCTGGAAACCGAAGCCCAACCACCTGGCACTCTAGTTTCTCGGCCAGACCTGCTATCTAGGACACATCCCTGGTTAGGCAACACCTCCCTCCGCCTCCCCCACCCCTGCCACTCCCTTTGCTGCACACCCCTCTGCAGATCAGGACACGTCCCAGTGGCGTCAGCCAGGCCAGACGGCACGGTGAGGACCCAGTTCTTGCACCCACCAAGAACAGTGATGGCTCTCCAGGATGAATTTGGGGCAGTAAGCACCAGATTCTCCAAAGTCACATCCTATCTCCTCAACTCTGCCCCCACCTCCAGCCCCACTGCTGCCCCTGGGCTCAGCACCAGAGACGTCACTGGTGCTCAGCACTTTTCAGGATCAGGGTTTTTGTAAGCTTCCACACTGCCCTGTGGTGTGGGCCTCGCTCCCTGCCCCGCTGTGCCACTCTCCGCCCTCTGCTTTCCAACTCCTTGGACTGCACTGCCTCAGCCCTGGGCTCACACTTTCCCACTCAGTGACAAGCAGCCCACTCCATGCAGCTCCCCAGGGCAGGAAGAATCAGAACAGGTTTGTCCTTCAAAATGAGAGACCCATGGGGCAGGGACCCGATTCTGCAGTAATGAGGGCCATGCAAGAACCCAAGACTCGGTCACTTTGAGCTGTTCTGCTTGTCAGTCCATCTCCCGTCAGTCACTCTCCTTGGGGCGATGGAGGCACTGGCCCTTGTACCCTCCCTGCCCCGTGCTACAGGGAGACAGGTGCCAGCTTGTTACCATTTGCTGAGTGCAGCAGCCGATGCAGGTGTAGATCTGGGCCAGGACCCTCTTGGAGCAGAACCCAGATGCAGCTGCCTGGAGCAGGGAGAGGGCTGCAGGGAGATTTCCAGCCTCCAGGCCCTGCAAACCTGAAACACACACACAAAACATTCTCTGCGCTCCATCTTCTTCACCCACTCTAGGCTCTGCTGTTCACGCTATCCCACGGGCCTGGAACGGCACCGTGACCAGCACTCCCTGCACCCCTCCCATCTGGTCCCATGTAGCCTTCCTGCTTCAATGACCCTCCCCAATCAGTGCATGACTCACACCATGTTATACCCGTCTGTGGCATACCCTGCCATTGCCATGGGACTGTGACCTCCCCTGACCCGTGCAGCACCATGCACATGATATGGGAACATCACTGCCATTGTACCAAGAGCCAGACAGGCTGGGCAGGGGCGTACCAATCCCAGGAGGATTCATATTCCCCTGCAGAGCCTTAGCCGAGATGCCACTAGGGAGCAGGCAGGCAGGCAGGGTCAGCCAGGACTGTGCTGGGGCTCGGGGTGAGAGCTGAGGCCTACAGCTCGGTGGGATTATTCCGATTCTGGTCTCCAGACCTGCCCCTTTCTCAGTCACTAACTCAAAGGCTCCACTTGCGTCTGGGCCACTGCCCAGAAACACACCTCGGGACAGTCACTTATTGTGATCTATTTACGCATTCAACCCCTCATACGCTAGGCATCCCTCCTGCCTGGGCACTACCCCACCTGCCTGAAACTGCCTCCCAATTAACATTTGTCCCACACCCTTCCTCTCTTCCTGAGGGCACAGCCACCTGGGAATTTTCCAGCTATAATGCTAACCCCCCAGCAGTGCTGGGTTTCCTGGGCCTCTGGCCAGGAGCTCCACAGGGAATGGACTCTGCTGGGAGACTGGCATGTTTTATTCAGTGCCACGTGTGACAGCACCGACTACCTCCCTTGCTAGCCGTCCCAAACCTCCCTCCCGACTCTTTCAGGTACCAGGTGGAACTCTGCCCTTGGGCCCAGTAGGGTTACCTCTGCTCTGCTAGGACTTGGAATACACAAAGGGAAAGTCATCTGCATCCTCCTGGGGTGGGGGGGGGAGCGCGGCGGCAGTGGAGAGGACAGGCCACAGCATTAAATAAGCTGGCTGCTTAGAGTGGCGCATGGCATGCTGGGACATGTAGTTCTCCCTATCTGTTTACACTTTGCAGTGGGAGGGTTCAGAGGCACTGCTTTTTAAGGGTACTTGTGGCCCTTAAGATAACCAATTTATTTGAGCATGAGCTTCCCCCACTTCATCAGGCTGCCCCCAGGGTCAGCAGTGGGAAGGGCACTCTCTGAGCAGTACCAATGAGGAGTCCGGTGGCACCTTAAAAGACTAACAGATTTATTTGGGCATAAGCTTTCAGGTCTTTAAGGTGCCACTGGACTCCTTGTTTTTGTGGATACAGACTAACACGGGGACCCCCTGATACTTGACACCTCTGAGCAGTGTGATACTCACCTCCTAGGGAGCTCCAAGGACTGTCAGGACAGGGAGCAAGCGAGAGGCCTGACCAGGGCAGGACAAGGCTCCAATCAGACTGCAGTGAAACTTAGCCAAGAAGCTGCAAAGCTGGCTCCCAGGTGCACTGTAACCCATTCTGAACTCACCGTGAGCCCCCTGCTAGCCTTCTGCCTGATAGGGGGTCCTTTCTCATCCCCGGCACGGCTGAAGAATGGGGCACTGGGGGCAGGCATATGGGGCGGCCCTTGATGCTGCAGGGCAGGGCTGAGCCAAGACAGGGAGTGAGTCACAGGGGTAGATGCGGGGAGGGCCCCATGACACTGCAGGGCAGGGCTGAGCCGGGGAGTGAGTCACGAGGGGACACAGGGAGCCCTTGTGATGTTGCAGGGCAGGGCTGAGCCAGGAACTGAAGTAGGGAATTTACATGCATATCTGAGAAGATATTGGCATTTATTGTTCAACGCTAACTCAAATAAGAACATGAAGGGCAGGAAACACATTTCCTCCTGGAGCAAGGCTGATCGCTCAGCTCCTGCACCCACCCCCAGGGAAGGGAATGGCTGAGGGAACTCCAGCTGGTGATGGCACGTGCTGGCAGGCTCGGATGGCAGTAGGGCCAGGAGGGTGGCTGGCACTGAAAGGGGAGGACCAGCAGAAGCATTCCTGGGGCTGGAGAAGGCACCCTCTAACCATACCTTGCAGGAAGGCAGCTGAGGTCCATAGTATCTCTTTCAAGTCCTTGGTGCTCTGCACCACGAGGGGCGACGTGTCCCCCTCAACAGGCACACTCCATGCCTTGAGAAGTCCAAGGAGCTCGTTCTCACCTCCGTGGGCAGAAGGCAGCGGGCCCTGCAAAAGGCACGGGACAGAGATCATCAGCGGATTACTCAGCATTGGAGGCACCAATCCCTGGGACCAGAGAAAGAGCAGGTCTGGGGGGCTGTATCGTGCCTCTTGAGCCGTTAGACTGCGAGCTCCATGTGCCCGGACCACACCCCGCAGCAGCCTCCCTCTAGTCTCTTTCCTGCAGCGATTCTCACTTGCTCTGGCAGCAGCAAGCTTCTTCCCACCTCCTGCTACACTAGATGAGACCAATGGTCCCATTAGTCTGGTATCCTGCCTCCCTGCCCCGGATGAGTTCAGTGTGCTTTCCCCTAGCTCAACAGCATGCATGTGCAATCCATTCAAAACATGAGAGAATCCCAGAGGAGAGATCCTTTGTTCCACGAGCCCTGTGTGTGTGATACCCAGACTCCACAGCTCACCCCTATTGACACAGCCCTCACTGCCTTTCCAATCAGCAGGAGACAGTTACCTCTGAATAAGTCAGCAACTCACTCGCTACAGAAGCTGCAGGTCTGCTTATGAACTTCCCTTCCAGTTTGTTTGGCGATCCTGCCAAGAATCTCACTGTGTTGGGTGTTAAATAGCTCCCTTCTGCTGTGGGCTCATGAGAGCCATTCAGTGCGCTTCGGGCATTAGGAGAAAGTTCTAGTACCAGTGAGAGAATTATTCATGCTGAATGGGGAGCGCCTTGATGGGCTCGGGTCTTTCGTTGACACAGCACTTCATGCTGGATGGTTTTAGGACAAATATTTGTACCAACTCGGCACCCTCTCACACACCTCTGGGCACATATTTAGGCCTGCACAGACACTGCTCTAGCGTATGCTACAGCCACTCAGAACTCACCGTAACAGCAGAAAATCAAACTCAGATCCTCTTGGTCCGAACTCAGACCCCTAGCACTTGGACTAGTTGTGCACAGGTTCTGATCTCCACGTGCAGGTCTGAGACCGTCCCAGACAGGGTGGAATACACACCTGGCCAGCTCACAGGAGTGACATGGGTAACCAGATTCATGCTGCTGGGTACAAAGTGATACCTGCAAGGGGCAGAATGGAATCCTTCCCCTCCAGTATGGGCAGCATCACATTAGTGCTCAGATGCTACATGGGGGGCGGGATTTAAGCTTTCCTCTAAAGCATCAGGTACTGGCCACTATGTGATTCAGGATACGAGAAGAGAGGGACCCATGGCACAGTGCAGTATAGCAAATCTTCTGTACACCAGCCAGGCAGTCAGCAGCTAGGTCCCTGCCCCAGCACTGATCCTCTGGGGAGGAGTGCAGTACAAGTACCTGGAGAGAGGCCATATGGCGTTACCTTGGTGTCACTCAGGAGCCGGAAGAGACCAGTGACGCTCCCCAGGCAGTTTGCTGCCAGCCACACCGCCCCCTGCAGAGCACCTAGTCGATGCAGAGGCGCGCACAGCTCTTCTGTGGTCACATCCTGCAACACTTTCTGCCAGAGCTCCTCTGTGCTGAGATCCTGCCCAGACACCCCGCAAGCCTCCAGCACTAGAAGAGGAAAACAGCCACAGGACCATGGGTCAGTCTGCTCAGGGACTGATCCCGTTCCAGCGGCCTGACAGAGCCTTAGCAAAAGAGAGGCCCTGCCAGGAGCAGTGCAAGCTCCATTGGCTCTAGGAGAGGCACAGAAGAGCTTTCTACCTGCTACGGTCGGAGGAAGAGAACCTCAAACGGAGAGAGAGGAACAAGGGCTCTCCCATGCAGGCACTGAGGAATTAAGGGTGCTCACATTATCAACAATCTGTTGTACCCCAGCCCCCAGAGTCAAAGCCGCCACATTAGCTTTGCTGACTCCTGCTAAACACTCACGACTGCCAAGAGGGAACACGCTTGAATGCTATCGGAGTCCCTCCCCTGAATTTCAGCCCATTTCTCTTATGTTCCCGCAATCCCAAATCACTGTAAGTAAATTAGTAACACTTCTCTTTTCGCTGTGCTACTCTCTTGGGCTCTTTGGGTTTTTTAAGCTTTTCTGTTCCCCTTTGAAGCCCCAAGTCTCCAGACTCCAGCACACTGCAGCTGCCACCTTCACTCACCCCTAACCTCAAACAGCTGCCAAGGCTATTCATATGAGGGCCCAGAGCAATCCATCATCCCTCCCTGGCCTTGCTCCAGCCAACCCAGCGACCTTGCCTCTCAGACACAGGGGACATTTTCCTTACCCCTAATGAGCCCATGGTTGAGTCTTTCTGCTTCTCCCTCGACGAGGCCGTCCGACTCACTAACAGCAAAAAGCAGGGAGTTGTAGAGGACAGTAAGCTCCAGAGAGAGGCTGGGGAGAGCAGCCGGCAGCCCTGCAGTTAGAGACCAATGCAACAAGAGGCTAGCTGGATGCATGAGGGGTGTACCAAACAGCAATCCCTATGGAAGATCTCATCAGGCTGCCCTGCACCAGCAATTGACACTTCCTGCTCTGGTTCTCCATACACCGCCTCAGCCCTAGAATCGCACAGCGGGGACAGCATCAGGCAGGTCTGAGGGCGCAGGTTACCCCCAGCTGCTGGAAGGGTCAGGCTGTGTGACTATGCCTCCCCAGCTGGTTAGGTATTCCGGGGGTTTGGTGCTCCAGAGCCCTTGCAGGTACTCTAGCAAAGCATCGCTGGTGGCGGGGCCTCCCTGGGGTGGGTGATCGTTTCCACACCGTCTCGCCAGCGGCGCTGTCGGGGGGCACTGGCCCTGGGGCAGCCGTGGGACTTACTGCCCAGAGCGACCCGCTCTGCTGTCTGCCAGGACCCCTTGCTCCTTCCCGGTCGCACGCACTCCGCAGGAAACCCGCCCGCGGGCACTCCCTGGGCGGGGGGCTGCGGCCACCAGCCCGGCGCCCCGCCTGCCCGGTACCCGCCGCAGCCCCACGCTCGGCCGGGGCGGCCAGGCGCAGGGGCCGCGGACTCCAGGGCAGCGTCACCCCCCGGCTGGGGTCGGGGCCGGCCCGCCCGGGCTCAGCGGCGGGGCAGGGTCTGCGCGGGGCCGGGGGGGGGCGCCCCCCCCAGGGGCAGGCCGGGAGGGCGGCGGGGCCCCGGGGGGCGGCGGCGGCGGGTGCGGGGCCCGGCCTACCTTGGATCTTCCGGAGCAGCGAGTCGAAGGCGAGTCGGCAGCGCCGCGCCGCCTGCTGCGCCGCGCGCCCGGGGCCCGAGGAGCGGCTGGCCTGCAAGGAGGGAAGCCGCGGTCAGGGTCGCCCCGCCGGCCGAGCCCCGCAGCCCGCCCCGGCCCCGGCCCCCGCGCCCCGACCCGCCCGCCCGCCCGCCGGCCCCGGCCCCCGCGCCCCGGCCCTACCCGCCGGCCCCGGCCCCCGCGCCCCGGCCCTACCCGCCGGCCCCGGCCCCCGCGCACCGACCCGCCCGCCCGCCCCGGCCCTACCCGCCAGCCCCCGGCCAGCCCGTCGTTCTCCTCCGTCCACGCGCGCAGGCTGCCGGCCCCCGCGGGGGCCTCGCGCCGGGCCCGCTTCGAGCCGCGGGGCCGGCTCCGCTCGCCGGAGCGCGCCCGGCCGCGGGGATGGAGCCTCTGCGCCATCGCCCGCTCGGCCACGCCCCCTCGCCCCGCGGATTGGCCCCCGCGCGCGGGGCCGGAAGCGGGGATTGGCGAAGGGGGCCGGAAGCGCCGGTTGCTAAGGGAGCGGCGAAGCGGACGATTTGACGTGGCTCCGGCGCGAGCTGTCACGGGCGGGGACGAGGTACGGTGGCCGAGGGGAGCCCAACCCCCTCCCGCCCCCGGCTTCGAGGGCTCCGCCTCTCCCCTGGCTGCGGTGTGTGCAGCGCCGAGCCCCGTTCCCGCCCCCCCTTGCAGCACGTTGGGGGGGGGGGGGAGGCTGGAGCGCTACACGTGCGGGGCCCCCAGAAACACGTGCAGGGCCCCCAGGCTCCAGGCTGCACGCCCCCGCTTGCTGCGAATGACCTGCTCCCGCCGAGCCCCTGCCCGGGCTAAGGGCGGCCCCGGCCGCCCCAAGGGGGCTCGTGCCCGGCTACGAACGGGGCCACGGGGGCGCTGGGGGGGGGCACACGGCGCTGCCCCCCCCCCCAGTTTGCCAAGCGGCTGCCGTGCACCGGCTGCCCCCCGAGGCGCCCGTCCGCTGGCAGGGGGCTGCGCCGCTCCCCGCCCCACACACCGACAGAGCCCCGCTCCATTGGGCAGCTCACGCTTTATTTGCAACCAGCCGTTTTGCCGCAGCTCGGAACCAGACCAGCTCCTCCGGGCCCCTGCTCGCGTCCAGTCTTTCGCCGTCCGTGCGCTGGGCTCAGAAACCAGTCACGGGTTACCCAACTCGGATTTAGTTCGGAGAAGCAGCATCCAAGCTCACAAAGCAAATCGTCCCCACCACCTAACCATTACATAATTAAACAAGAACCCTTATTAAGTAGCTTCTAGCTCCTTCACTGAGGATCTCAATGCAGTTTACAGACAACTCAGCCTGGCAATACCCCTGCTCAGGTAGGTCAGTATTATCCCAATTTTAGGCAAACGGAGACACAAGAAGTGAAACAATTTGCCCAAGATCATAGCAAGTCAGTCCCAGAGCTGAAAAGAGACCACAGCCTTCCCACTTCCCGTTCCTCTGTTAGGAGCACTCACCAACTCTGTCTCATGACTGGAGTTGTCCAGAGGTGATGCTTTTAGATGGACTGCTGCCAGTTTGCCCCCTCGAGGCTCTGTTATAAATCTCTACTCACTGGCAGAGACGCCCCAGCCACTTCCCCCTTGCAGGCAGAGTTGCTCCAGCGGAAAGAAAAGTGACAATCAGATCCACAGAGATGCCTGGTGGTGCTCAGCATCTTTAGAGCACTTTGCTCCTGAGCGCTCAAGGTGCTCTACATAAATGGCTCTGTTTCCCCCATTTTCCAGATGGGGTCCCTAAGGCACAGCAAGGTGAAGCAGCTTCCCCAAAGCCACGTGGTCAGTCAATGGCAGAGCCAGGAACTCAAACCAGGTCTCCTGAATCCCAGCGCCGTGGGCTGTCTGCTGGACCACACAACCTCCCCAGGGGGCAAAGGCAATGCAATGCCCAGCGACCTACTGAGAGGGTGTTGGCATCCCTAAGGGAGGCAAATGGTTTAAAACATTTCAAGGAAGGATAAACAGAAATAGGATGAATAGGAGTAAAAGGAAACGGGCTTAATCATAGACTGGTGCTGACAGCTGACGTGTGAAGCTATGGAATAAACCAGACAGGACCAAGGCCTTGAGAACACTGTCTGTGATCACCTCCCACCTCTTGGGGAGGTTTGATAGAGATTTCCCACCCAGGCTTTAGAAATTAGACCTAAACACACAAATGTGTCTATGGCTCTCCCGTGCCAGGAGCTCTGCACACACTGCACTTGTCCAACACTTGGGTGGGCTGTGCATGGCCAAAATGGAGTTTTACACCTGCACAGACAGATCCATTTCTAGGTACTGGCCCTGATCTGCAGAGCCCATGATCGACTAGGCCTGCATCCCATGGGTAGTGTCTCTGCACAGTGCCGCAGTAGACAGGGTGGAGGGACAAGGTTGAGGAGCAGATGATGGATGACCCTCCTGGCCCCATGTCATAACCTACTGAAATCCCCATTCAGGGGGCATCAGGGGGCTCCAGCCTGGCCCTGCTTCGGGAACAATACAAATCTCCCCTCTCTGCACGGAGTCCACCCACCCCTGCCTGGAAGGGAGTGGAGAGAATGTGTGTCAGGCCCCGGCCAGGGCTCACTGGGATGCTGAAATTGTAACAGCGCTTAGGTGCTGTGTTGACAGGCTGAGAGAGGAAACAGATGGCAGGATTTTCTTCCTCAGTAGCGCCCCTTGAATTCAGAGACTGAATACACCCCTAACTCCCCTAGGACCCTCATCCCCTGGCTGGGCCCAGCGAGCAGCAGCCTCAGCGCTGCAGTTCAGAGTTTTAAATTAACAAGCACCACGAGTTTCCATTCACTGCAACAACCAGCACATCACGCTTCCAAGCTCTCCAAGCACTTGACAAATATTAACTCATTTTCCCGCAGCGGACAGGTGCTGCAGCATGACCCTGGGGCTCTCTGGTACGTTAACCGAAATGGCAGCTAAGTGGCGAGGTTCAAGGGCAGCTGGAAAAACTACTACAGAACTAGTAACAGACACATACAAAATAGCAAGCGTGTCAATAGCCCCCAGTGGGTCATCTGGCTGCTTGGACTCAGTTCCTCGGGACAGCAGCCTAGTCTCCCTTGGTACAGCGACCAGGATAACAGGTCCTGAATCCTACCTGGGGCTCCTTGGCACTCCCATGATATAAGGATGCATTCCATGAGCCTGGTGAAGACGTGCACCCTGATAGCGCAGTGCAGGGTCTCTATGGAATTAGATTATTTCTACTTCACTGATGGAGAAACTGAGGCAGAGTGATTTGCCCAAGGTCACACCATCTGTGGCAGACTGAAGATCAGAAACCAGGAGTCCCAGCTCCCAGGCCTGTACCCAGATTCACGAGACGACCCTGTCGCTACAAGAACAATGGGATTTAAACATTTTAAAGATAAAAGATTCAAAATCAGTTTCCGACCCACCCCGCGCTGGAAGGGGACACAGCGGGAGTTAAATAGTGAGAAGGGGCAGCGTTTTGTGCTTTTCACAGAGCTAGGACTCCTGGGCTGCGTTCCTGCTCGCCCACAGACGCATTGTGTGACCATGGCCACGCCACAGCCAAGTGCCTCAGGTTCCTCAGCTACGAAACGGGGATAATCCGGAGCTGACTGGGCGGAAGGGGAAGGCTGTTAGCTGCTAAGCGCAGAGCTCTCCAGGGACACGCACCGAAGTGCTGAGCAGTACCGTGAAAGCTCCTGAAGAAAGGCAGGTTGGCTGACGTTTGGGAGCAGGGGAAAGCAAAGCCCAGAATCCTGGGTCGTGACAGGGATGTTTTGGGACAGTAATACAGCTTTAAAGACCACAGAGATTTGTACTGGACCGCAAAGCTGTTCAGACTAGCGGCTGCTGACCAGGCTGCATGGCTGGGCATCATGTCAACGCCAGGTGATACGGTGGGGGTCACTCCCTGGCTTCAGCAATGCGAGTTGCCTGGCGTTCTAATGCCACCTGCACGTCACATGCCCATGGGGCAATCCCTGCCAACTGGCCAGCAGGACTCAGTAGGGTCTGCACGAGCAGCTACAGCAGAGAACCATTATATAACAGGTGACCTTAGCTAACCAACCTGCTCAGCTACTATCCAAGGGAGGGCAAACACAGGGCCCACAGAATTACAGTGATGAACCCAACCCACCCACAAGACATGCCCCCTTCAGACCAGCTGGGTGCTTTGGGGCTAACAGTAGCAGTTCAGCCAGCCAGGATAACTTTGGAGGCCCTAAAAGGACCCAGAGGCAGGAGACTAGGAAGGGTCCAGAACTACCCTAGCCACATAGCACAGTGAATTGAAGTCAGACATGTACAGCTCTTCCCAACTAGTTCAAAACCAGAAAGAGATGGGCAGCGAAAAGCAACCAAATCAATGACCCCCTGCAAACCTTTCTTAGCTCCTTTTGCCCTCGAGAGCTGCAGTCACACAGTACAGATCACTTCACCCACCCAGGGGTGGACAGCAGGGTTTAATAGCACCAAGTAATGCCACAATGGTTTAGGGCAGGAAGTGAAGAACACCCTAACTGCAGGGGGAATTTAGGGAGACGGAATGGGACCGCCCCCACTGGAATTTAGCCAGCTCCATGGTTAACCCCCCAACCCCTGCAGAGAAGGGATACAATCTCATGATCATAAATAGGAGCAGTGAGGTTGGGACAGCTCCTTTGAGACATCACCCGGGGCTGGAGCACCCAGGTCAGTACTGCGAAAAGCACCATGCTCTGAATCATGACCACCATCACCTGCAGCACTTGGGGTTTTCTTACAGATCTTCCAGACACATGGCCAGGCCCCTCCCTGCCAAGCTTGTGAGATGTGGCCCAGCCTCAACCCCAGGTGGTGCCTCAGCGTGTCTGAGGGGCTAAACTGTCAGTCCTGCAGGGGTGTTATCTGCTCCCAAAAGCTTTGGAGCACTGGTCTCTGGCCACCGATGAGCACATGCCAGTGGCTAGGCCTGCAGTTCTTGGCTCTCCCTTCCTCCTTTAACAAGGAACCTTGTTACTAGGCCCTGTCACTACCTGGCTGTCGTTCAGCTGTGCTCACGAACCAGCCACGCTGCTTGGGTCACTCAGTCACAAGGTTGGGGTTGGGAGCAGCCAGAGCGCCACAGCAGATTCAAGGGAATGCACCAGAACAGGAGACGGGGGGCCCTGGCTGCTACAGCTGAGGTCTCTGTTTGGATACCAGAAAAGGCTGAAGCCCTGGATCAGAGAGGATTTTATTCCTGGGTACAGCTCCCTCCCTCCTTGCTGTCTCCTTCCCCAGCAGTTTCAAACAGTCTTTCTACAGACTGTTGCTAACCCAGCCCCAGGTACCATCTGAAAGCACCATGCTGTGCAGGCTTCTCTGGCCAGTCTCTCTCTCTGTCTCACACACACACACACACTTTCTCACAGTCACGCACACACACTTCAGGGTCCGGCACT